GTACCATACAGCCACTGACTACACTCTGATTTTCAGCCGTTCCTTCCAGTCAAGGACCCCTTTAAACTCTTAGAAAGCAGCAATTTCCTTAAGTAATCAACCATCCTTGAGGGGCTGGAATGAAAGTGGGTGAATGCATGCTTGACGGTAGCTGACTAACGACATTTTCATGCCCTGAAATTTCCCCAGTGATAGAGAGCTGCTTGGATTGTTGCTGTGGATTTCTGTGGCAATGGGGCAAGCAATGATAATCCCAAAGTATGTGGGCAAGAAGCGACAGCAGAATTTACAGCTTTCCTAATCTCTTCCCTTACTTCACCATACAAAGGCCTCTGCCCCATGTTGCCTCTCTCGCCACTCCCATTTCTCCCACAGAAACAGATCAATCTCAGGATTGTGTTTTGCTTTTGCTGTTATTCCTCAGATCTTGTTTTACTTTCACTTCTGTAGAGTCTTGAGAATTGATTTTTTGAGAAGGACCTAGCAGCCCGTGCAAGCTCACCATTTGTCAGGAATTGGAACTGTCCTAAAGAAAGAGCCCCACCCCTTTACCATTCCACCGCGGGCAGGAGTGGTATTTCGTTTTGCTATTTTTGTCAATCACCTCAAATAGCCAAGGACTCCCAGGTCATCCTTAATCCCTCAGACTTTTACTCACTTGACTCACATGTACAGCCCCCTTTTGGACTCCATTTTCCACCCTTGCCCAATTCTAGAAACCCTGTGCTGTCTGGAACTTACACCCTTATCAACAAAATTCCCCATGCCCTCAACAATTTCTCTCAATGTTTCCCGCTGGCTCTAACTGAAACCTGGCTCTTCCCTGAAGATTCCGCTTCCACTGCATCCTTCCTCCTGTGGTGGCTGTCTTCTTTTCACATCCATCATACCAGTGGGCCTTGGGGAATGCGGGGACTGTCTCTCTTGCTCCTCATTTCTGCTTCCAAATGATTTTCTAAAATTGTTCTACTTTCTGAAAAGGCCCAGCTTTGACTCTTAAGATATCAGATTCTACCACCTATTGCTACTCCTATATTCTAAAGATTTTAGTCTCTGGTCGACTGTCACTCTCTTCAGTACTATTTCTGTGATTTTAATATACATGATATTTCCAATAGCCTTTTCTTTCAGTTCTGTGACCTCCTATTCTCCTGTGTTTTTGTCATCCATCTTACCTCAGCCACTCATTCCCAGATAAATATTTAGATCTGAACATTATCAATAACTGCAATGCCTCTATCAACTGAATTTCAACCACACAACTCTGAACATCATCTCCATCTTTCTAGCTCACTCACTCTGAAACCCTCCTAACTCCAAAAATCCTTGAATCCCACCTGGATCTACAAGCCATTGAATTTTACAACTTCTTCACTGTCCTTCATCCCCTGTCCCCCTCACTTCTCTGTTTAAATCATGGCCCATTATTAGAACCCTTGTCTTTTATTGCTTACTTTACATTTTGTCTGGTTAAAACCATAGATAAACATAGCTAGAGAAAAACACATAACCATAAAGATGTAGTAAAATTATATGCTTGGTGCATAACCAATTAATTTTACACAGTTTGTATCTCTCACTAAATAAATAGGAAAAGTTTGGCCACAATGTCTGACTAAAAGGAGTTATTATATCTGACCTTAAATACCTAATTATTCAAAAAAGTCAGTCATATTTTGAAACACGTACACATTTATCAAGGAACTATCATACTCTGCTTCACCAAAAAAACTTGAATTCTTTTAGCCATATGCTAAATTGCATAATTACAAATTAAGTCAGTAAAACCTTGCTGTAAGTAGAGTCCAAAACTTCAATTACATAAAATGCAGGTTTTAGCTATTGGGAGCTTAATGAAATATGGCATATTTAGTTGGCATGTACTATCTCAAAGAGCACAAAATAGAGCTGGTAAAACACTGTACTGAGAGAGTCCCAAATGATCAGGAATGTGTCACTTTTTCACCTCTTTCCCCACAAAAAGAAACACTTTTTAGACTATTCTCCTTGAAAAGGTGGCTGAGTAGAATGCCAATTGTTACATCTAATGCTTCCTTACTGGACATATTAAGGTGGGCTTTTGTCATGAGAAAAATCATATTTATCTTGTTTTATAACTAGAGAATGAATAAACTAATTACATCAAATCTATATTATTTTAATCTTGAGTGTTTTACTAATCTATCTTACAAAATGTTCTGTAATTTATTTCTCGTTTTTTGTAAAATTCTTAAGAACACATTATTGGAATGAAAAATGAAGTTACTTTCTTTATTAGAAAGTATGATTTGGCTGATTGGCTTAAAAATGAGAATTTACTTTGCTCCAAGATACCTGGGGAATGCTTTCCACCAAGTGAACATGGCAAGTCTGAAACGCCAAGATTTTGAAGAAGATATTTTTAAAATATACGGCAAAACCATTTTAATCCAAAAATATTATATTGATAAAAACATGATATAATCAACAATATTTCAGTGTTCCCAAGCCTTTCAAAGTATACTAGGCTAAACTGGGTGCCTCTAAGAGAAACAATAACATGGCATAATTAATAGTCACTTGATAATTATTGATTAAAGCTTTTGGTGTATTTCTCAGAAACTGAGAAAAAAGATGACTGGATAACTAATCCTTTTGCAAGTCTGGTGCCTTCCAATTTTTTGCTCACAACAAAATTAAGGACAACTTACTTGAGTAATCCACTGATTATTAAAAGTATTTTTAATCTTAGAGCACTAAGTGGTTATTTTGTATATATCCAGGAAGGAGTTGAAAAAAAATTGAGTAATGTTATAATAACAAATCCTTTTTATTTTTATTTATATGAACATGGTTTCTGGGTGCTTTCAACTATTAAAACCAAAAACACAGGATTGGAATTAATGCTGAATTATCTAGCATTCTAGCAATAAGATATATTCATGTACTAATACATGAACTATATGAAAATAGCCCCATTCTTTTTTTTGGGGGGGGTGAGGAAGATTGGCCCTGAGCTAACATCTGTTGCCAATCTTCCTCTTTTTGCTTGAGGAAGATTATTCCTGAGCTAATAATGTCTGTGCCAATCTTCCTCTATTTTTTGTATGTGGGATGCCACCACAGCATGGCTTGATGAGTGGTGTGTATAGGTCCGCACCCAGGATCTGAACCTGCAAACTCCAGGCCACCAAAGCACAGCATGCAAACTTAACCAGTATGCCACCAGGCCAGCCTTTTTTTTTTTTAAAGAGATGTATATTCAAAAAATGACATTAAAGTAATTTTAATAAAAATTTATACTACTTTATTTTGACTTATTCCTTATGTTCACAGAAAACTTTTAAAGTTTCAGTTTATATACATTTTTATTGCATAGAATTATGCTATAATGATAATAAATAAGACTTTCAAGCATAAAAATATAGTATGATAAAATTTTGTGAGAAAAGAGGACTACAAATATGATTAAAGAGAGAAAGGAATATAAAACTTGTTAAAGAGCTTATTCATGTACATGTCTGATGGTATCCAATCATTAAGTATTTAGACTCCATTGGGATATTTAAAGTAGTGATTTACTACTTTAAAATGAAACATTAACATTATGGTGGAAATTAGAAACTTGGCATCTGTTTAAGACCATGATGAAATATTTATACATTAACTTTAAAAAATTTACAAGGTATAAATAGCTCTTTAAAATCTTAGAAGACACATTAGCTAAAAATGTTAGAAGGCTCCTAAGTCATAGTCTCAGAGTGGAATTGATGAGTCTCAGTGTATCTTTTTGTTTGTTTGTTTGCTGAGGAAGATTCTCCCTGAGCTAACACCTGTGTCAGTCTTCCTGTTTTGTATGTGTGTTCCTGCCATGGCATTGCCACCGAGTCGTGTTAGGTCCATGCCTGGACGCTGAACCCAGGCCACTGAAGCAGAGCATGCCGAACTTAACCACTAGGCCATGGGGCCCACCCCTATTGTATGTTTTAAAGAAATGCTTCCCTCAAGTACTCTTAAAATGTTAATGTAATTTTGAAAACCAGTTCCTTAGTCACAGTAGCTACACCTCAAGTGCTGAATGGCCATGAGTGATTATCGGCTACTATAAACGACGGGGCAGATACAGAACATTTACATCACTGCAGAAATTTCTATTGGACAAATGCTGTTACAGGCATTCTATATTTTCTTTAGATTTAGAATTTTGGTTTTAGGACTTTTGTATAAGTAAAGTTTAAAAGCCATTATCCCAATACCACAGTGTGCATAGTTTATTATTTCCCCATTTTTGTGATGTCACCTTTATCATATGCAAAGGTCCTAAATTACATGGTTGTTTCTGGGCTCTCTATTCTGTTTTGCCTGTTACTATACCAATAACACAGGGTTTTAATTATTCTAGCATTACAATAAATTTTGATATCTGTCAGGGGGTGTCTCCCTACCTGTTATTTAAATTTTTTTTTCTGTTATTTGTAGACATTTTGCTATAAATTTTTAAATCAGTATGTCAAGCTGATGGAGTTGTAATTGAAGCTGCAATGAATTTACAAATTAACTTGTAGGAAAACTGATACCTTTAAAATATTGTCTATTCCTTTATTACCCAGATTTCTTTTGTCTTTCAATGATGTTTTATAATTTTCTGCACATATTTTAATTAGATTTACTCATACACATTTTTAAGTTTTGTTTTAGATTACACTTTTAGTTTGATATCGTTGGCATAGTGAAATGCTATTGAGTTTTGTATGTTAACTATCTCTTATTGGGAGGTTCTCTATTGGGTTTTTTCTATATATGCATATCATTTGCACATGATGACAATATGAATGCCTAACAATTACAGAATACTGAAATGACACCATGCACTGTTATATCTGATTTGTAGCTATTAACTCATGTAATCCTTTTAAGAACACTATGAAGTGGGCACTATTATTATCCTCATTTTATACAGAGGTTAAGTAATTTACAAAAAGTCACACTTGAGAGCCAAGATTCAAACCATGATCTTAACCTTTCATTTTCAATCTATATTATGCATTTATTTTTCTCGTATTTGTTTCATTGACTAGTTCATCTAGATCATCATCCGATTAGTAGAAATGAGATGATGCCTACTCCTTCTCATCCAGTGAATACTTGGAAGAGGTTGTTGGCTGTGACTACTACTGAACAAATAGTAGCAACAGAAGGCATTCACATCTTATTCCTTACATTAATGGTCATGCTTCTAAGTTTCATTGTTAAGAACAATGTTTGCTGTAGTTTTTTGTGGGTACTGGCTTTTCACAACACTGATGGTCTTTTCCCTCAGTGTGAATCTATTTGTTTCATAAATTTTGAGTTTTTACTGAAGGCTTTTTCACTTTCATAGCGTTTTGCTGAAGAATGAATTTTTACATGAGCTAGAAGATGTGAATTTCTACTGAAGATTTTCTGACACTCAAAGCATTCAAAAGGTTTATACCGACTATGAATTTGTTGATGTCTAATGAAGTGTGAGTTCTGTCTGAAAGCTTTCCCACACTCATCACACTGATAGGGCTTCTCACCTGTATGTGTTCTCGAATGTAGAGCAAGGGCTGAAACTCGAGAGAAGGCCTTCCCACATTCATTACACTTACTGTATTTCTCACCTGAATGACCTTTCACATGGACAGTAAGAGATGCTTTTTGAGAAAATGCCTTCCCACATTCATTACATTCAAATGGTTTCTCACCTCTATGACTCCTCATATGCATAATAAGTAATGAACCTTGAGAGAACGCTTTCCCACATTCACCACATTCATAAGGTTTCTCCCCTGTGTGACGTCTCAGATGAAGAGTAAGAGAGGAGATTCGAGAGAAGGCTTTACCACATTCATTACATTCATAAGGTTTCTCTCCAGTGTGAATTTTCTGATGCTCACTGAGATTTTGCTTATGTCTGAAGGCTTTTTCACACTTAGTACATTCATAAGGTTTCTCTCTAGTATGAATTTTTTCATGCTCAGTGAGATTTGATTTGTGACTAAATGCCTTCCCACACTGCTTACATGTATAAGGTTTCTCTCCAGTATGAATTCTCTGGTGTCTGATAAGGTTTGACATCTGAATAAAAGCTTTTCCACATTCACTACATTCAAAAGGTCTCTCTCCAGTATGAATTTTCTTATGTGTAATGAGGTTTTCCTTTTGGCTGAAGGCTTTTCCACAATCATTACATTCATAAGGTTTTTCACCTGTATGATTTCTCATATGTACAGTAAGAGATGATCTTCGGGAGAAGGCTTTCCCACATTCATTACATTCATAAGGTTTCTCACCTGTGTGACTTCTCATATGTATAATAAATACTGAGCACTGAGAGAAGGCTTTTCCACATATATTACATTTATAGGGTTTCTCCCCTGTGTGACTTCTTTTATGTAGAGTAAGAGATGAGATTCGAGAGAAGGCTTTCCCACATTCATTACATTCATGTGGCTTCTCTCCAGTGTGAATTTTCTCATGCTCAATAAGGTTTCGCTTCTGGCTGAATGTTTTTCCACATTCATTACATTCATAGGGTTTCTCTCCAGTATGAATTTTCTCATGTTCAATGAGATTTGATTTCTGGCTGAAAGCTTTCCAGCATGCCTTACATGCATAGGGTTTTTCTCCTGTATGAGTTCGATAGTGTCTAACTAGGTTTGACATGTGAATGAAAGCTTTTCCACAGTCCTTACATTCATAAGGTTTCTCTCCTGTATGAATTTTCTGATGTGAACTGAGGTTTTCCTTCCGGCTAAAGGCTTTTCCACATTCATAACATTCATAAGGTTTCTCTGCAGTATGAACTCTGAGATGTCTGATGAGATCCAACTCCTGAATGAAGCCTTTTCCACACTGAGCACACTTAAAAGGGGCTACTGCAATAGTGGATGACCTATGGCAGGGTTTTCCCGGCTTATTACATTCATGATGTTTCTTTGTGACACAGGTTCTCCCATGATTAAGTAAGTCTAAATTATGTTTCACACTCTTTCCTAAAGAGTCACATTTACAGAGGCATTTCCTTGTATAATTAATGTCTGAGTTCACAGGAGACATTTTTCCAACTTTTTTAACTTCACTGCCTTTCTCCTTAGTCAAGGTTTTCTTAAGTATGGTTGCAACTCCTTTCACAAATCTTTGATGTTCTGTTTCCATTTGCTCACCAACTTCCCAGTCTTCTAAAAAGGAATAAAAAATAACATAAAATTTCCAGCATTATATTATTAATAAAATTTCAGAAATGAATTAATGTGAAGTTGCTTCTCTGCTTTCAGGACTTGTCTCCCAAAACAAAAGAAATCCCAAGTGCAAATATTCCACATCACCTTGTTTTCAGAAGGAAAACTTCTTAGAAGACTTAAGAGTAGAAAAAGTAACATTTATTAGTATAAAGATTATTGAGTGCTTTTAATGTGACTTTGCACTTTGCAGAAATCAGGGAAATAAACATCAAAAAGTGACAAATGATAAGATGAAAATGTGATGTAGGATGACTGCAAAAAAAGTAGAATGATCAGGTGGATCATCAAAAAATAAGTCATGCAGTTAAAAATGAGAGATTGAAGAACAGGCACAAAAAAATTATTAAAAATTTTATTAAAAAACCAAAGGGGTAAATAAATGGAGGGATACCATGTTCATGAATGGAGGGCATAATAAAGATATCCACCATCCTCTGATTTGTAGATTTAATGCAATCTCAATCTAATTCTCAACAGTTTTTTTTGTGGAACTAGATAAGTGATTCTAAAATTTATATGGAAACACTAAGGACACAGAAGAGCCAAAACAATTTTGAAGAAGAAAAACAAAGTGGAAGGATTTGCTCTACTAGAGATCAACACTTATTAAATCAGTTTACTAGTGGCACAAGATAGACAATTAGAATGATGGAAATGAAGAGAGCACCAGAAATAGATTCACATGTGTACAGGTACTTGACTCATGAGAAAGGTGGCACACTAGAGTAGTAGGAAAAGAATGGTCTTCTCAATAAACTGTGCTGCATTATCTGGATATCCACGTGGAACCAAGGGAACTTGATACCTGTCTCACACCATATGGAAAAACTGATTCCATGTAGACTGCAAACCTAAATTCTGAAGGCAAAACAGTAAACCTTTTAGAATATCAGAGAATATCTTCATGAGCTTGGGTTAGGGAAATAATTTTTAAACAGGATACTATTAACCTTCAAATAAAAGATTTACAAAACGCACTACATTAAACTTAAGAAGATCTGTTCATCACAAAATGCCATTAGGAAACAGAGAAAGCAAGCTATCAAATGGAAAAAGATTTGTGCAGCACATGCAACCCACAAAACACTCTGGATCCAGAATATAAAAAGGTTCTTTTTCAACTTAACCGAAACAAACAAACAAACAATTCAGTAGAAAAATAAGTAAAAGCCTTGGATTAACAATTCACAAAATGGAAAAGTCGTATGTAGTAAACATATGAAAAGGTGTTTGAGCTCACAGAAAGAAGCAAATTAAAGCTACAATGAGATACCACTCATCTATTCAACAGAATGGCTAAAAATAAAAAGATCAATAATAGCAAATGTTGGCAAGTCTGTGGAGCAACACTTCACACTTCCAGTGAGAATATACCAGAACAAACATTTTGGAAAATGGTCTGGCATTATCAAACTAAAGTTGAAAACACACATAACCTATTATATCATAATTATACTACTAAGAATATAACTGACAGAAATACAGGCACATCTGCATCAGGAGGTATGTACAAGGATGTTCATAGCAGCATTATTTATAACAGCTACAAACTGGAAAAAACTAAAATTTCCATCAATAGAATGGATAAATAAGTTGTGGTATAGTCATGCAAAGGAAAACTATTCAGCAATAAAAATGAATAAACTACAGTTACATACAGCAGCATGAACAAATCATGCAATTATAATATTGAGCAAATGGAGTGAAGCATAGACTCTATATAAATTCCTAAAACTAAACCATAATCTTTAGGAATGCATAGGTTATAAAACTAGGAAGAAATAAGGAGAGTGATTACCATAAAAGTCAGGACACTTCTATTTAGGATGAAAGGTAGGGACAGAGATTGCAAGGCATCAGTGAAGGGCTTCTGGGGAGCTGGCAATGTTCTATTTCTTCACCAGGGTACTGACTACATGGATGTCTACTTAATAATAATTTGTTAAGTTATACATTTACGTTTGATGCTTTTTTGATGTGTTTGTTACATTTCACAATATAAATGGTAGAAAAAAATGCAGAAGGGTAGAAAGGCTGGAATTGGGCTGGGAGGAAGGCAGCAACTTTTAGAACAAAACGGGGGTCGCGTGGGAGAGTTTTTAAAGTATGATGATAAGCAATGCAGGATATGCCTGTGGCTCTAAATTTATGATTCTGAAGCATTTCACAATGGGTGAAAAGAGCTAAACGAGAAAGAAATGAAAAATGAACCTACGTGTCAAAGAGTTTTGGTAAGACTGTAGTATTTTAAAAGACTGAATACATAAGCAGATAACTAGATGAAAGCAGGTGGAGGTAAAGAATGAGAGTGCAAGCAAAAGGGAAAATAATCAAGAAAACCAGGTTGTAAAGGAAATGGGAAGATTCAGCATCCAGAATATAAGTAAGGTTAATCCTCTCAACTTCAATAAAAAGAGAGCCCTGATGTATAAGAAATATCTAGAAGTGCCATGTAGGTATCTGAGGAAGTTATATCAACTGCCACTTGAAAGACTAGGACCTTTAAGAAAACCACACTGGAAAATGTTTCAGAGGTGTTCTCTAAACAACTGTCACGTGACTGCACCATTCACACGTGCCTCACTGACTCACCTGAACGTCTTCTTAACATTCCTTCCTCTACAGCCCATGGCTCTTCTTCCTGCTCCAACTTGAAAATGATGTCTGGTTTGGTGAATTGATAGCCTGTTTATGAGAAGATACATGACTTGGGTATTAACGTGAGGGAGAAAGTATCATCTCAGAATTTAGGCTGAATATGGGAAGCCACAGGGCTTCTGACGAATGAGGAAGGTGTGGTTTCCAGAGAGGCATAAAGAAATTTCCTGTGAAATGCAACATGGCTGGAATATATACTATCATGTGAACAAAGGAAATAAGATCTTTTAATGTGACAACTCAGGGCTATACCCCCCATACCATTTAAAGGCCTCTCATAGTTCAGAAATGGAGAATCTGATTTTCACAGAGATTGTCCTTACCTACTATTAATAGGTTGCTATAGTTCTCCAGCATCACATCCCTGTACAAATTCCTCTGAGCAGGTTTCAGTTGTTGCCATTCCTCCTGAGTAAAATCAATAGCCACATCCTTGAATGTTACTGTTTCCTGTAACAATACATTCCTCATCAATTTGAGAATACTGGGTGACATGTGAAAGCATTCAGGGGTCAGAATTCATAAAAAGCTACAACAGATGCCTAATATTTATCTAGTTTTATTTTGTATTCTAGAAGAGAACAAGTCACATAGGATATTTTCTCGAAGTACAGGTTTACTCGTTGCTTCAGCCTCCTTAAAGGTCCATTATCAGCTATATGCGAGAGAGAAGATCCTATACTGGGAAATAACAGAGATGGAACTCAGGAGGAGATGGCTTTGTGAGTCACCAGGACAGGGAATATGGCAAAGGGTGCTGGGGGGGGAGAAGGTGGTAAGAAGAGGTAAGAATGAAATTTTGGACCTGTAAAATTCCAGCTTTCTACAGAACAACCAGGTAAAGAGATCCATCTGGCTGTTAAATATGTTAATCAAGAGCTCAAGCAAGGACTAGAAAGGGAATGAGCAATTTGATAATCACTAGTCTATAACTGGTAGCTGCAGCCACTGCAGTGGGATGTGATCATTCACTGAGGCTATGCTGAACAGCATGAAAAGGGGGGGCACCAAATGAATTCTAGAAACGACCACCACTTAAGAAGCAGACAAAGGAAAGGCATTCATTAATGGAAAATTGGTTTTAAGCTGTCAGAGGATCTTAATTAGCATCATGAGAAAATAATATAACGAAGCTAAGGAAAATATTTTAGATTTCTTAAAAAAAGTCATGAAGACCATATTTTAACTTCCCCTCTCATAAAACTAACAAACCAACAAAAAATGAAAAACGTAACTTCCAAAAGAATGTAGAATAAAAAAAAATCTTCCTCTTGTAATGGAAATAAGAAAGTGAGGCATCCACATATCCCATACTTGGAGGACTTTGTTACAAAAATACTACAAATGGGATGAGACAGAAAGAAATCACCAAGACGTAAGTCATCAGTACCGTTTCTGAGAAAGAAATGAGGCAGACATCAAGTGAATATTAAATGGTACCAATCACTGCTCTAAGCAACTCACACAGAACAACTCACTGATTCTCAAAAACCACCATCTAAGGAGTTAGCCTCATCTTTGGGTGATAAAACTGAGGCAAAGACAGTTTAAGTAACTTGCTCATGGTCACAGAAAGTGGTGGAGCCACGACTGAAACCTGTCTTTTTACCTCTGAAGTCTGTGCACTTAACCTCTATATTATCAGAGGTAACTAATGAGGACACATGGACAAAATAATTGTTTGCTTGTTTTCTCCCCAGGATGTGGAGAATGAAGTAAGTAAAGGAAGGGAAATGAGGCTGTAAAGAAAGAACTAGCTGATATATTTCAGTGTAAGTATTAACCAATGGAGAATGGTTCCAGAAGACACAGGAAAGATGGGATCAAGAACAGAAAAGACAATATCTTTGAGTGGAGACACACCTCACTTTTTGAGACCAGAGTAAAGAAGGTATGACGAGAGCGACGAGAGCTCTGGATCACCAGTTCAAAAAGATGCCAAAGCATTTTACTTTACTTTATGTCCATTAAAATATTTTATTTTCTTCTGAGACATTAATGAGCTTTTTAATGAAAGGCAGCATAAACTATGTAATGAATTTTCTTAATTTTATGTCCTAATTTCTTTTTCCCATGAAGATCAGATTCAAATTTGAAGCTCAATTCTTTTTTTTTTTAGATTGGCACCTGAGCTAACAACTGTTGCCAATCTTCTTTTTTTTCTTTCCTGCTTTTTCTCCCCAAGTCCCCCCAGTACATAGTTGTATATTTTAGCTGTGGGTCCTTCTGGTTGTGACATGTGGGACGATGCCTCAGTGTGGGCCAACAAGTGGTGCCACATCCACACCCAGGATCCGAACCAGCGAAACCCTGGGCCACCAAAGTGGAGCGCGCGAACATAAGCACTCAGCCATGGGGCTGGCCTGAAGATCAATGCTAAATTAACCAATTTCTCTATATTCTAATTGTAATTTTCTCCTAGTCTTAACCATTTATATTTTTTGCTGACTGATTTTTATCCATTTAGGGTTTTTCATCTTATTGTTGGGATTATTGTGACCTACTTTATCTGCAGTGCAGAATAAGACAATAAAAGAAACATATCATTTAAAACTCACTTGGGACTTGGTCATTTCTTCTTCTTCCTGGGAGAGAGTAGAATCTGGAAATGGCCAAGCTGGGGGATGGGTGGAAAAGAAGCCATGAAAAATCAGGCTTGCTTAGTAGCTCTAGACAAGGCAGGCAAGAAATCTCCAGGTAAATAAGGTCAATCACCTTGTGGGGGGAACAATCTTAAGACCCATCAAAAAGCCAAGAATAATCATACTGTTTGGAGGCATCAATATGTACAAGCACAACTGACAAAAGCCTACAGAACTTCGATATGAACTTTTAAAATTATTTTAAGAGTAGAAGTATAATTCCCAAGCTATTTTTTAAAGACACTCCATACTTTTGTTTTTTTATCTACCTATCCAATCTCAAACTTACAGAAAAGTTGAAAGTATAGTACAAGGAACTTTTTATCCCCTGAACCATTTGAGAGTAAATTGCTTACCTAATGCCACATCACCTCTGAATATGCTGTCTATTTCCTACAAACAAGGACATGTCCCTACATAACCACAATACAATTAACAAAATCAAGAAATTAACATTAATATATTACTACCATCTATATCAGATCCCATTCAAGTTTTGCCAATTGTGCCAATAATGTCCTTTGTACTAAAGGATCCAGTTCAGAATCACACATCATGTTCATATGTCTTGTCTCTTTAATCTCCTTTAGTCTGAAACAGTTTCTCAGTCTTGCCCCGACTTTCATAATCTTGACAGTTTTGATGATTACAAGCCAGTCTCTGGAGAATGTCCCTCCAATTTGGTTTTCTTTGATGTTGCCTCATGATCACTGATTCTCAAAAACCACCATCTAAGGAGTTAGCCTCATCTTTGGGTGATAAAACTGAGGCACTGACAGTTTAAGTAACTTGCTCATGGTCACAGAAAGTGGTGGAGCCACGACTGAAACCTGTCTTTTTGCATTTTGGAAGGAATGCCCCAGAAGTGAGGATGCCTTCTTCTCAGGGCATATCAGGAGGCACAGGATGACAGCTTGTCCCATTACTGGTGATATTCTTTTTGATCAATTAATAAGGTGTACCTGCCAGCCTTCTCCACTGTAAAATTACTTTTTTTCCCTTTGTAATTAGTAAGGATTTTATAGAGGGGAGTATTCTGAGACCACATAAACATCCCATTCTTCATCACATTTTCAATTTATTAATTTATGTCAGTATGGACTTGTGATTTCCTATTTCATTCAAAGCCTATAATCTATTACTATTATTATTTATATTATTGTTCACTTTGTGCAAGATTTGACAAGTGAGAACTCCTTCTATCTGGCTTCTATGGACCTTTTAACAAGTCCCTATCATTCTTTGGGCATGTCCTTACTTTCACGTACAAGATGTTCCAGGTTCATCTTGTATTTGCCCTGCCCCAACACTGGAATCAATCATTTCTTCAAGGAGCCCTGGTTCCTAATAGTAGGGGGAATGGTGTTTAGAGGCCATGATCTGGGTGCTAGCATTTTCACTGCTATCAAGCGTCACTGCTTCCAGGCCCTCTCAGTGGACAAAGCTTATGAACATAAATAAATAGACACATACATTGCATACACACATTTATATCTATATTTATTTTTATATCTATGTATATATAATGAAAAGTCTAAGTTCACACTAATACTTCAAATTCTAATCTAAAACCATTGAGTTCATTCTAGTTTTGTCCATTTTCATATGTGTAACTCCCTTTTCTGACTCAAATAAATAACATCAGAAATGAAAGAAGAGAAATCACAAGGGACACCACAGAAATACAAATGATTACAAGAGAATACTATGAAAAACTATATGGCAACAAACTGGACAACCTAGAAGAAATGGATAAATTCTTAGACTCTTACAACCTCCCAAAACTCAATGAAGAAGAAACAGAGAATCAGAATAGACCAATCACAAGTAAAGAGATTGAGACTGTAATCAAAAACCTCCCCAAAATAAAAGTCCAGGACCAGACGGCTTCTCTGGGGAATTCTACCAAATGTTCAAAGAAGATTTAATATCTATCCTTCTCAAAACTATTCCAGAAAATTGAGGAAGATGGAACACTTCCTAACACATTCTATGAGGCCAACATCACCCTGATCCCAAAACCAGACAAGGACAACTCAAAGAAGGAAACCTACAGGCCAATATCACTGATGAACATAGATGCAAAAATCCTCAACAAAATATTGGCAAACCAATTACAGCAATACATTAAAAAGATCACAACCATGATCCAGTGGGATTTATACCAGGGACACGGGGAGAGTTCAACATCCTCAAGTCAATCAACATGATATACCACATCAACAAAATGAGGAAGAAAAACCACATGATCATCTCAATAGACACAGAGAAAGCATTCAACAAGATCCAACATCCATTCATGGTAAAAACCCTCAATAAAAGGGGTATGGAAAGAAATTACCTCAACATAATAAAGGCCATATATGAGAAACCCACAGCCAACATCACACTCAATGTGGAAAAACTGAAAGCCATCCTTCTGAGAACAGAAACAAGACAAGGGTGTCCACTCTCACCACTCTTATTCAGCATAGTACTGGAGGTTTTGGCCAGAGCAATTAGGCAGGAAAAAGAAAGAAAAGGAATCCAAATAGGCAATGAAGAAGTGAAACTCTCGCTGTTTGCAGCCAACATGATCTTATTTATAGAAAACGCTAAAAAAATCTATCGGAAAGTTACTAGAAATAATCAACAATTACAGCAAAGTTGCAGGGTACAGAATCAACTTATATAGATCAGTAGCATTTCTATACTCTTATAATGAACTAACAGAAAGAGAACTCAAGAACACAATACCATTCACAATCACAACAAAAAGAATAAAATATCTTGGAATAAATTTAACCACGGAAGTGAAAGACCTATACAATGAAAACTATAAGACTTTCCTGAAAGAAATTGATGATGACATAAAGAGATGGAAAGACATTCCGTGCACATGGATTGGAAGAATAAACATAGTTAAAATGTCCATACTACCCAAACCAATCTACAGATTCAAGGCAATTCCAATAACATTCTTCACAGAAATAGAACAAAGAATCCTAAAATTTATATGGAGCAACAAAAGACCCTGCGTTGCTAAAGCAATCCTGAGAAAGAAGAACAAGGCTGGGGGCATCACAATCCCTGACTTCAAAATACACTACAAAGCTATCGCAATCAAAACAGCATGGTACTGGTACAAAAACAGGCACACAGATCAATGGAACAGAATTGAAAGCCCAGAAATAAAACCACACATCTATGGACAGTTACTCTTTGACAAAGGAGCTGAGAACACACAATGGAGAAAAGAAAGTTTCTTCAACAAATGGTGTCGGGAAAACTGGAAAGCCACATGTAAAAGTATGAAAATAGACCATTCTTTTATGCCATTCACAAAAATAAACTCAAAATGGATCAAAGACTTAAAGGTAAGACCTGAAACCATAAGGCTTCTAGAAGAAAATATAGGCAATATACTCTGACATCAGTCTTAAAAGGATGTTTTCCAATACCATGTCTTCTCACACAAGGGAAACAATAGAAAGAATAAACAAATGGGACTTCATCAGACTAAAGAGCTTCTATAAGGCAAGGGAAAACAGGATTGAAACGAAAAGACAACCCACCAACTGGGAAAAAATATTTGCAAATCATATATCCGACAAAGAGTTAATCTCCATAACATATAAAGAACTCACACAACTCAACAACAAAAAATCAAACAACCCAATCAAAAAATGGGAAGGGGATATGAACAGACATTTCTCCAAAGAAGATATATGGATGGCCAATAGGGACATGAAAACATGCTCATCATCACTTATCATCAAGGAAATGCAAATCAAAACTACACTAATATATCACCTTATGTCACCGTTAGAATGGCTAAAATAACCAAAACAAAAAATAACAAATGTTGGAGAGGTTGTGGAGAAAAAGGAACCCTCATACACTACTGGTAGGAATGCAAACTGCTGCAGCCACTATGGAAAACAGTACGGAGATTTCTCAGAAAATTAAAAATAGAAATACCTGGGGCTGACCCCGTGGCCGAGTGGTTAAGTTTGCGCACTCCGCTGCAGGCAGCCCAGTGTTTGTTGGTTCGAATCCTGGGTGCAGACATGGCACTGCTCATCCAACCACGCTGAGGCAGCGTCCCACATGCCACAACTAGAAGGACCCACAACAAAGAATATACAACTATGTACCGGGGGGCTTTGGGGAGAAAAAGGAAAAAATAAAATCTTTAAAAAAAAAATAGAAATACCATATGACCCAGCCATCCCACTACTGGGTATCTACCAAAGAACTTGAAATCAGCAATTCCAAAAGTCCCATGCACCCCTATGTTCATTGCAGCATTATTTACAATAGCCAAGATGTGGAAGCAACCTAAGTGCCCATCAACAGATGACTGGATAAAGAAGATGTGGTGTACACACACACACACACACACACACACACACACACACACACACACACTGGAATACTACTAAGCCATAAAAAGGATAAAATTGTCCCATTCACAACAACATGGACGGACCTTGAGGGAATTATGTTAAGTTAAATAAGCCAGATAGAGAAAGACAATCTCTGTATGACTCCACTCATATGAGGAATTTAAATAAGTAGACAAAGAGAAGAGATTAGTGGTTACCAGGGGAAAGGGGGGTTGAGGGGTGGGGAAAAAGGGTGAAGTCGTGCACCTACAACATGACTGACAAAAAATTAACGTACAACTGAAATTTCACAAGGTTGTAAACTATCATAATCTCAATAAAATTTTTTTATAAAAAGGTAAGGAAGTACTCAAAGACAAATGCGGACAGGAGCCAGTCTAAGAGGCCAAATTGGGACAATTTGAGCAACATAAAGAATGATGATAATAATGGGCTAAAATACTTTGTTCCTTGTACTAAAATACTTTGAATGGAAAAAAAAAAAATCTATGAGCCACAGTGATACTCATAAAAAACAGTGGAGAGGGAAAAGAGGGGGAAGGCAAAGCTTTTCTATACAAAAGAAGGAATGATAACATTTTAAATCACCATTTTAACCCCTAATTTAATAACTTATTGAGGCAAAGAGCATCAGTGGATGCTAAAGCCATTAGGTAAATGGTTATATATAAAATGGTCTCAAAACATCCCTATTAGATTACATCTTGACTTACAAAATCAAAGGGTAACTTTTACCATGGAGAAATCAGGTGCACACATTACTTGAACCAAAGTGATCAAATTTAGTATCATCAATAATGGGTCAAATTTAAATTATGTCCTCCTCGATATGATAGAATAGGAAGACTACACCACCGCTCATAGTGTTCTCACCAAATATATTTAAACTTAACCTAATCATGACAAAACAAACAAACATAGAATGGTAGACATTCTATAAGACAGACATTCTAGACTCTTCAACTCTTCAAAAATGGCAGCATGAAACACAAAAAAGGCAAGGGGAATGCTGCTCCACATTAAAGAAACTAAAAAGATATGTCCTCTCTTCAGGGAACAGCAAGATGGCTGACATCTGTAAACCAGGAGGGGGCTCTCACCAGGAACCAAATCTGCCCACATCTAGATCTTGGACTTCCCAGCCTCCAGAACTGTGAGAAATAAAGGTTTGTTGTTGTTGTTTTAAAAAAGAGACAGCCCATCCAATGCAATGTGTGACTTTGACTTGGATTGTGGATCAATTTTTAAAAAGGACATACAGAACATTTAGGGAACAACTGGGGCAATTTAAATATGGATTATATGTTAGATGATATTATGAATCACTGTTGAATTTCTTATGTGTATTCATGATATTGAGGTTCTACAGGAGAACAACCTTGTTGTTGGTTTTTTTTTTTTTTTTTTGAGCAAGATTAGCCCTGAGCTAACTACTGCCAATCCTCCTCTTTTTGCTGAGGAAGCCTGGCCCTGAGCTAACATCCGTGCCCATCTTCCTCTACTTTATATGTGGGATGCCTACCACAGCATGGTGTGCAAAGCGGTGCCATGTCCACACCCAGGATCTGAACCCGCGAACCCCAGGCCACCAAGAAGTGGAATGTGCGCATTTAAGCACTGCACCACAGGGCCGCCCTGAGAACAACCTTGTTGTTAGAGACGCATGTTGAAATATTTAGTGGTGAAGTATATGATGTCTACAGCTTACTCATAAATGTTGAGCAAAAAACATACAAAAATATGTAAATAGATGTAGACAGATTAAGCAATGGTACAAAATGTTCAAAACTGGTGAATCTAGGTGAACTATATACACTGTACATATTATACTATTCTTTTAGTTTTCCTGTGGCTTTAAAATTTTTCAAAATAAAATCTTAGGAAACAATAATTATAAAAATGCCAGAGGGCCTCAAATACTTTCGCAGCATCACTGATTAAATGCCTGAGTCGCATGTAACTGGTATAAACCCAATCTATTGGAAAAAGGTCAAAATCATTTGCCAGCATCAAAAAAGACTCTCAAAGAAAATGATCCAGTGCCAGGAAAGAGAATACGCTTACCGGTGCTGTTCATGGGGAGCCACAACCACGGGGGCGAGTCCAGTTGCCGGGCTGAAGAGATAACTAATTCTTAGAAGTCTGCAAGGTCAAAATGGGTCATAAGGACATAAATCTGACACAGCCAGTTCATAGGCAAACAAGGCACCTGACACCTATGAACGATTATTGCCCAAGTATTCCTTTCTCTCTGCAGTCTTCCTAAGGGGCATGCTTTCTGGATTTTGCCTCCTTCCAAAGCATCTAGGTCCCTTGGCTCACTGTCTTCCTCCAAAATCTTCAACGTCTCCGTTTTCTTTTGAATTTTAAAATTAAAATTTAAATGCATGAGTAACATGTTTTCCTTGTAAAGAAAAAAAAGAGACCGATTTTAAAGAAAGTATAGGCAGTTTTATCAGATTCACAAAGAAGTACTTTAACCCAACATTGTTAAGACCACTAAAAATACATTCACATTATATCCACACATATGACTATAACAAGAAGCCCATCCCATGGAATCTATTCATCTCAGGTTAACAATTCCCGTTTTCCACTTTTAAACTCTTGCAAGCAGTCATCACAATGACTCAAGAGCCAAAAGAGATAATCCAGAATCAAACAGATATGGCTTAAGATCAATGCATGCTGTCTAACTTGAAACCAGAATGTGTCACCTCTTAAAAAAACCAATCTACATCTCTCATGTACACTCCAACAAAATTCCTGCTCCACTTGGACACTTTGACCCACTCTATGTCAGTGCAATCTGACCATCTTTATTTCACACAGCTATACTGGATCAGGCACACAGCTTCCTTCCCTCAACAATCCTGGTCACCAAACTTGCTACTCCAGTCACATCACTGGGAAGAGATCAAAGTATTTGGTATATGGTCCTGAATGTCAAAACAAGTTTTATTAATTTTCTTCCCCCTGTAGGAGTGGTGTAATTACAACTCTGTCTCCTCTGTCCTGGAAGTTCAAACGTCTGTGATTATTTGGGAAAAAAAAGAACATGAGGTCTTAAAGGAAGACAAGGTCAGGCTTATCGACAAACCAGAGAGCCTTAAGTTCCTTTCTCTCTGTGAGTCAAGGTTTGCTCATCAGAAAATGGGGACAAGGGTTTGACTTAGAATTCAGGAAATCTGACTAATGCTGGACTCTACTAAAATTCACTCTTCTTACGTATAAAGTTATTTTATTAATTTATTAGTCGATAGCCTTTCAACCTTTCCCAATAATGTCTCCCTAACAGCAGAAAAGAATGGATGCCTACTTTGGGGGAGAGCTGTGGCAGAGGAAAAAGCAGTTACTTTGGGACTGGCTTTGAAATCATCTTTCTTAAAAACACACAAACAAAACTATGTCGATTTTACATACTTCTCCATAATACATGTATTTGATCCAATAGAAAAATCATGTGTAAATTTGCCAGATAAATCGGTAACCTTTCCCAGATCATCAAATTAGTATCCAAGGAAAAAAACTTGACCATCCATCGTTTTTTTTCAGTCACACGCATGCCGTTTTGCTATTGGAACTTCTACAGACGCTGAAATACAGGCACGAGAAGAACACATTTATATAACACAAACCATCACCAGTCACGAAACCACACTGAATTATGAACACAAAACAAACCACAACAGCAGAGCGCCCTTACTCTGTCAGACAATCCCATACAGTTATAAAATGTCATTACCATGCAGCTTCAATACGAATCACCTCACACCCATCAGCACGCAGAATCACACACAGGCAGAAATACAACCACACGCCCGGCCAGTGAGGGACTCCCAGGCCGCCCAACATCTCGCGTCGTCTCGCACACATTTACACACACCAAAGGGCCCGGCAAAGCACAGAGGGGGTCTCCTGCCAGCCCGAAGCTCCGGATGGTCGCCGCCCTAGCTCCAGCTCCTCCCCTGCACCTGCCGGCGAGTGCCACCTTCTCGTGATGCCTTAGGACCCAGGCACGACTCGCTGCTCCCTGTCTCATGCCCCAGCCGCTCCAGCGGAGCGCACCCGACGCCTGCGCACTGAGCTCAGGCGAGCACTCCCAGAAACCTCCGGGGCGCGGCTGCTGGGGCGAGCCGGGTCTGGCGCCCGGTCCACGAACCCAGCCGAGGGTTGGCAGCCGGCCACGGCCTCCACGGCGTTGGACTACATTTCCCAGGGTCCACCGCGTGCCGAGCGCCGCTTCATTTCCGTTTGTTCGCGCGATGTGGGGGGCTCGCGAGGGGAGAGGGCTGCGTCTGTGAAAGAGCTTGGCTCGGCTTTTGCGGGGCGGGCGAACCGAAAGCGGGCTTGGAGTCCGGGCGCCGGATCCTGGACCCTGCAGCGCACCTTCGGTCGAGGTGAGGATGTCCGGAATGCTAGGGCGGAAACGCGCAGGGGAAGCGTGTGTGGCCGTGGCTCCTGCGGTTTTGTGTTGTGCGACCGCCTGCCTGGTATTGGTGACTGTGCGCGAATGGGCGTGTGCGACTGTGGCTTTGTGTCTAAGCGTGTGTGTGAGTGTCAGCTGTTTGTGACTCTGAGGGTGTGATAATACTGCTGTGGCCGTGTTTGTGACCGCGTACTTTCCTGAGAATATGGGTATGTGACAGTGTGATTGCATGTGTACCGCGTGTATGACTGGGCTTTGCTTGTGACTGTGAGGTGTGCGACAGTGCTGTTGTGACAGGGAATGGGATGTTCTTGTGTCTCTGTGAGGTGGTGTATGTGACTGTGTATCGTGTATTGCTGGGGTTTGCCTGTGACTTGAGGTGTTAGGACAGTGTTGCACTGAGTGTTTGTAACTGCTTGTTTCCTTGACCTGGTACTTGGTTGTGTTTTTCTGACTGACTGGATGACTGTGTGTGTGCCATGTGTGTGACTGTAGGAGTGTGTGTGTGCCGTTTTCATGACTGTGTGAAGAAAGTGAAAGCGCTGCTGTGAAGGGGTGTTTTTGGCCTTGTCCCCTGACAGGGCGCTTGGATGTGCTTGAGTGATTGCTTGCTCTGGGTATGATCGGATTTTGTTTAATACTAGGCGGTCTGACAGTGTGGCATGAGCTTGGTGATTCTCACTCTGGCTCTGTGACTGTGGAAATGTGATTGTGTGTGACTTTGTGTGGTCATTTGTATATTTGATAGTCTGTGACCTTATGGGAGTTTAGTGGGGTGCAGGAGTAAAATTGAGTTTTCGTATTTCTGGGGTCCATCCTGGGGCTGAGTCTGCCTACGGATAATGAGTCCCAGTCGCTCTGTCCTCTAAGGACTTGACTTCTTTCTCTTCTGACAGTGACTACCCTCCCCCTCCGTTCACACGTGACCTGTATTGCTTCATGTCTGTATCCATCCTTAGTACACCCTGGGACTGTAGTGGTAGATTCCCTGCTGCTTCCCGGTGCCCTCTCACCTGTAGCCTTAAGGGTATTGGATGCAGAGAAGGAAGGAAGTCAGAAATCTGAGCCCCTGAATGAAGAATATGAGTTATTTCTAAGCCACAGACCTGGTCTTGATATGAGAAGTTCAGAGCTGAGAGGCAGGCCAGTTGGAAATGTAATGGAGGTCCAGGAGTGGGAATACTCGCAGAGAGCATGCTAGAGGAGCCAGTCACACACTTAGAGCCTGTGGTACTCCATTGCAGGGCTCTGTCTCCAGTGAACAGCTTTGAATCCAGAAGGAAATTCTAGCCCAAGACAGCTGTGATCTTGGCCCCCCTTTCTGATGCAGAAAGTGCAGAACTGTTCTGGTTTCCTTCTGACTTTCCTCTGTGTTAAATAAGGGGTAGATGGTGGGGCAGGGGGCAGGGAATGTGTTGTAGTTTAGAGTACACCCTAAGAAAGGCCAAGTATCTCATTCCATTTTCTTTTCCTGAGAGTAGAGCCCAGAGGAGGAAAGAATGGCTGTTACACATTCAAAAGCAAAGCCCAAGGTGAGTAGATGTTTCCTCTTTGTTTCCTGAAATGCCTTGTTTTTTTCACAACATAAGAATGTTTTTCTTTTTGAAATTTCCTAGCTAAGCCTTCTCAAATGATGAAGGGCTAAGGCAGTTTTCTGTAGATTAGGGGCAAGGAATGTGTGCAGTTAATCGTGATAGATGCTTCCCAATGGTGGTTGAATTGAGGAAGAGAATGGATTTGAGATTCATAAGTTTAAGAAAGAGATAATATTGTGTTACTTATGACAGTTTTTTTAACTTTTTGTTAATTTTCAAGTGTACACAAAAGTGTAATGAACCATCATATGTCCAGCTCAAAAGTCATCACTCGCCAGTCTTAGTTCATTTATTTTGCCTTCTGTTTGAAATCCTTTCTAATTTGCGTTTTGATTTCTTCTTTGGCTTATGGGTTATTTAAAAATATGTTATTTAGTTTTCAAATACTTTGAAGATCTTCCAGAGATCTTTCTGTTACTGATTTCTAATTTCTAATTTCATTCCATTGTGTTGAGAATGTACTTTGTATGACCTGAATCCTTTTAAATGTATTGAGATTTGTTTTATGACCCAGAATGTGTGGTCTATTGTAGTAATTGTTTAGTGTGCACTTGAAAAGACTGTATTCTGCTGTTGTTGGGTGGAATGTTCTATAAATGTCAGCTAGGTCAGGTAAGTTGATAGTGTTGTTTAAATCTTCTGAACGCTTACTGATTTTCTGTCTACTTGTTGGATTTATCTCTGTCTCCTCGTAGTTTCTATCTGTGCTTCATGTATTTTGAAGCTCCTGTTATTAGGTATATAAATGTTTTAGATTATATGTCCTAATGGTGAATGGACCCCTTATCATTATGAAATGGTCTTCTTTATCCCTGGTAGTATTCTTTGCTCTGAACATCCACTTTGTCTGATATTTAACGTAGCCACTTGAGTTTGCTTTTCATTAGTGTTAGCATGGTGTATCTTTTTCTATCTTTTTACTTTTAACCTATTTGTGTTCTGATAGTTAAAGTGCATTTCTTGTTGGCAGCATTTAGTTGGATCTTGTGTTTTTATCCAGTTTAACTATACTGTCTTTTAACTGGAGTGTTTATACCATTTATATTTAGTGTGATTATAGATATGATTTGGGTCAAATCCATCTCTTGCTATTTGTTTTATATTTGTCCCATCTATTCTTTATTACCTTTTCCTTCTTTTCTGCCTTCTTTTGAATTGATAGCGTTTGAAAGTAGCAATACCAATATTTTTACTAACCATATGAATGCAGAAAAATAATCAAGACTTCTTGGAGTTCAGTAGGATATAACCCACTAGTGATCTATAATCAAATTACTGGGTTTTTTAAAGCACCTAAAGTAACACCTCACATATAGTTAAGCCACCAATTTGAGAGATATAGTTAGGCTCATTTGTTTCATCTTGCTTTCTACTTTTAGGGATTGTTTTCCCCCCACTTTCATTTAATTTTAAAATGACATAAAGTATTTACATATTTCCAAAATCAAAACTACAGAACAAGGTGAATTCAGAGAAATCTACTATCCATTCCTGTCCCCTCCACCCTGTTTCTTTCTTCCCTCTGTAAATCACTACCTATTTTTCTCTTTGGTTTATCCTTCTATTTTTCTTTTAAATGATATATGCGTGTATGTGTTTGTATGCATATGTATATATTTTTTATTGTCTCCATTCTTAACTAAAAGGGAGTGTTCTGTGTACACAGTTCTACATTTTCCTTTTTTTTTCCCCTCACATGTTTAATGTATCCCAGAGATCATTCCATAGCAGCCTATACAGTTCTTCCATCATTCTTTTTTATAGCTGCATATTCTGTTGTGTGGTGTAATAGTTTATTCCGGCAGTCTCCTATGGGCGGGCATTTTTTTTCAATATTTAGCATTATGTAATGCAGTGATCCATAACTGTGTATATGGTTTCTATTTGTAGAGGTTTATCTTTGGGGCACATTTCTAGAAGTGCCTTACTTTTAATTTATTTTAATGCCTTTGATATAAATTCTGCCTGAATCACAACTCTGAGTAATAATAAAATTGGTATAGTTCCTCATTTTTCCCCCTCCCTATCTTTTTTTCCATTACCCAATTTAAAAAAAGTCTTAGAGTTTATCATCATACTGTTAAATATTCTGTTTTCTCTGAATTTATTGAGAATTTCTTTTTTTTTTTAACCATTACATGTCCTCCTTTTAAATTTCAGGAAGCTATTGTTTTCTTGTTTTCTGATATCAAAGTAGTACATGTTCGTCGGGACAATTTAGAAAATATAAAAAGAAACTGAGAGAAAATAACAGTTACTCAAAAACCCTCCCTTGGAATGAATCACAGTTCATATTTGGAATCTATCCTTCAGGTCTTTTTCTTTTTAACTTATTATTATGGAAAAATTCAAACATACAAAAAACAAAAAAGCGTAGTGTAACGCATCCCCATGTACCCTACCCATCACTCAGCTTCAACAAATATCAATTTATGGCTAAATGTGTTTCATCTATAGCTCCACCACACCCTCCCCCACCAAAGAAAACATGGATTATCTTGAAGTAAATTCCAGATATATAACTTCATCCACAAATATTTTAATATGTGTTTTTAAAAGATAAGAACTTTTTATTTAAAAAACATAACCACATCATCATCATTACTAAAAAGAAAAAAACTGAGTACTCTCTTTTTTTTTTTTTTTTTATTTTTTTTTTTTTATTTATTTTTTTTTTTTTAAAGATTTTATTTTTTCCTTTTTCTCCCCAAAGCCCCCCGGTACATAGTTGTGTATTCTTCGTTGTGGGTCCTTCTAGTTGTGGCATGTGGGACGCCGCCTCAGCGTGGTCTGATGAGCAGTGCCATGTCCGCGCCCAGGATTCGAACCAACGAAACACTGGGCCGCCTGCAGTGGAGCGCGCGAACCCAACCACTCGGCCACGGGGCCAGCCCCTTGAGTACTCTCTTAATGTCATGGAATAGCCAGTGTTCAAATTTCCCCCATTGTCCATAAATATTTTTTATGGTTTGTTAGAATCAATATTCAAACAATGTCTATTTAGTGTAATAGCATGATATGTTTCTTAAATCTTTCTTTCTC